CTGAACGGAGACAGTTCACGTTCCTTCATCTTAACTGCTTGGGTTCAAATTTACTGCTTTGTCGATCAAACAGGAAGTGAAACATATGCCCCTTTATTTGTTACACATTTTGTAATTAATTAATGAAGTCCAAGCCCTTCAAACGTTTTTGAGCCAGATCCACAAAAATATTCAAGTTTTTTTAATACATTTTTAGACCGTGTACCAACCTCTCTGGAATTCAGGTTTATTAAAGACCCTCACCGTTATCTTTCTTTACATGTTTGTCTCACACACACACACACACACACACACATACCTGGTGTGTCATTCCAGACATGTTTTCACAGACACAGTCAGATCTCATAAGACCGACCCTGGGGGTGTGGGGGGTGGGTTTCATCCTCCACCCTGCCCTTATATCCCCATACATCCCAGGACCCCCACCACAGCCCCCGTTCTCCTGGTTGAGAAAGTTCAATTTTGAAGAGACTAAACTCCTGCCTGTCCTCAGGACAGTCCGTCTCCCTCGGTCTTCGCTCTGTTTTGCCTGGTTTAGACCGATTTTCTGCCTGCGGTTATAATGTTACCAGGAGTCTGTCAAGGCACCATGGGAATATTCCCACGACGCGCTCACGTAGATGGTTTTCATGATGAAAACCAATACTGGGGCTGACCTGCAGTACATTATCACTGCCGACAAGCAGTATCGACAAAATAATTAATTTTAATCTGTCGTCAATGCCGGGCTGTGCAATCATCAATCAGACTTCAACGATTTGGATCAAAACCAAAAAAACAACAAAGCAGAAACGAACAGGACTTAGAACAGAAGAGAGACCAGACCCTTGTCCAACAAAACCAAGGACTTCACTGCACCTAAACCTGTTCACATTAGTGCATGTATTTTTGTAGCTCGGGATGAGTGCATGTATGTGCATATATATAGACATACACATACATATATATTCATATATATATATACTGTATATATATAAATAGATATATATATAAATAGATATATATATACTTACACGCATGTGTATGTATTATATATATACAAATACATGTATATATATACACACATATACATATATGTATGTGGATATATGTATATACATATATGTATGTACATACTGTATATATGTACATACATATATGTATACATATAGGTATATATGTATGTATATATATAAGCATATATATGTACATATATGTATATATATGTATGTACATATATATGTATGTACATATCTATGTATATATGTGTCTGTATGTGCTGTGCTTTTTTATTTCCACTTTCTTTGCTCACTTCTTCTCCCCCTTCACTCTCACCCACGTGTTCTCCCACGGAACAGTCCACCCAAGGTCACTAACTGCTTAATTTGCTCTGCTTTTCCAAACAAAACAAAAATTTAAACAAACCCGGGTTGTCAAAGCAGGGGGCGGGGGTCGGAGGGGGGAGCACACCCAGCATCTGGACCACTGTGTGTTCAGAGCTGATCGTTGTTCTTCAAGGTAGAAAAAAAATCATTCAAACATTTTTCTGTTTCTGTAGAGCAGTTGTGAGTTGGACGTTTGGTCTAATTTGGTCCTTATCATTCCAGTTGTTGCTCATTAGACCTGAACGGTGGAGTGGTGACTTCAGCTGAACAGTTTGATTCGAAGGGAACCCAGAGAACGGACGTTACACAACAACAGATGGAGAAAACAAGAAGCTGCTGTTCATTAACATGCATGCACGAACACTAACCGACACACACACACGCACCTCATAAAATGTCAGGGAGTCAGTGCACTCTCTAAAACAGATGTGAAGAGCGAGAAGGTCAAACAACGACAACGTCATAAACTGAGAAAAAAAAAAAAAGAAGTTGACAAAAAGACTCCGTTTGTTTTTCCTTTCATCCTAAGACTTTTCTTTTCCCTCACAGCTGCAGGGAGTGAGAGGACGATCAGCTGATGGAGACGCAGCGTCTTCAGTATCAGACAGAGGAGACTGAGACTGATTCAGACAGAGATGGACACCTGCATTTAGAGACGCTAGATAGCTTTAGCCAATGGCTATCTATTAGCTATTTTGTTGCAACTATATATATATTAGTTTGTTTGTTTTTTATCTGTTGTTTCCTGAATTTGCTAACGGTATTAGCTTGTATTCATTTCTCTAATATCTTATCTGTTGTTTCCTGAATTTGCTAACAGTATTAGCTTGTATTCACCTAATATTTGTTCACAGTATAGAGTTCAACTTCAATTTTTGCTAGTGATAATTTATTTTTTTGCGATTGCCATTAACACTTTTAGCGCACGCCAAAATATTTTTTGTAGATATTAGGCTATCGTTGATGCTTTATTTATGGTCATCCTAAAGCTATTTTGTATGTTATTTTTTAGTTAATTATATTATTATTTTTGGCTAATTAAAAGCTGTTTTTAGGGCTAGTGTTTAGCAATTTCACGAGTAAAGACTTAGTCTCACTTTTAATGACCATAATATGTTTTGACTTCCTCCTGCCGACTACTCCCTTTATGTTATTCAACAGTCCACCGTGTATCTTTAACTTAGCCTAATTAGTCAAAACATTTTCTCAGCTAACTATTAGCTTTATGACGACGTCCTAGTCATTCCACTGCAAAGTTTCCCTTTAACTTAAGATTAAAAAAAAAACATTTGTAAAAATCTGTTCAATAAACCGAATCATTAAAAAATAAAACTGTAAACTCCGTGTTTTGGCAAATGACAAACCAAACATTTACATTCAGTTTGTGTATTTTCCAAACTCGGCTGCAGTTTCCCTCCTCTGATGCCTAAATCCTAATCTGTGTACTCTGGCAGGTCAGTACTCACTGGTACTTGTATGCAGCCATTCATGTAGGACTGCAGCTCTGCATGTGCAGTGAGGTGGAGGTAATTACCAGCTGGGTCTGCTCTCAAACACCTGCAACAACAAACGTGGCCGTGGCAGGTTAGCTCACCGCGACTCCTTCTCTTTTTACTGAAACCCGATCCTGGAGTTCACAGCCGTGAGTCCAGGGGTCGGGGTCTTTATGTGGAGACAGAGGGGGACTGGGGGAATGATGCTGCAGGTCTTCATCTTTCTGAGATACTTTTTTTTTTTGCCACCTCATCATTCAAACTCAGCTCCAAACCGATGTTTTCATGAAACTCCATCTCTTTCCTTTCACCTCTAACAAAGCAGCTGACGCGGTGGCTGAGGCGTGTCACACCAGCACCTACCACTGTATATCACCTATTGAGAAGCTCCGACTATTAGTAACACAACACGCCTGCCGGAGCGCAGTGATCTGATCTGAGCTGCGAGAGGGCGGGGCCAAAAATAAACAGAAAGAAAAAAAAAATTCCGAAATGTCAAAGGAGGAAAATTTGGCAGAAAAAAAAAACGGTGACAACTGTTTGCCAAAAAACGCAAACTGTTCTAACAAAGAATAACAGATGTCACGAGATGAAAGGACCCGCCCACCAGGGGGAGTGACAGGTAGACGGGAAATCGGAGCTGAAAACTGCAGCTGGAGAACGGACGTTCGTGCTACAGTCGCGGTCACAGAGTGACTCATCTGTTGTTTACTGTAGAAATTCAGTTAATCCAAAATTAAACGTTCCTTTGAGTCGGTGTCGATGCGGCCGCGTCACCTGTCACCTGGTACGGCGAGGTGTGTGTGTTTGTACTGCACGTACGTCACAATAGATGCCAAGGTACACACACCGCAGCGTCTGATGTTTCGGTGGAGAGACGGCGGACTTCCATGTGACCCGTGTAGCCAATAATGGAGTTTGTGTCCAAGTGTTTCCAAAACGAGAGGGAGATTTTCTCAGAGCCCATGAAAAGTTCATGGGTTCTAAAGCCCTGAGTGCTGAAGTTTCAGAAAACGTTCATGAAAAGTCTGTTCTTTTCAGCTGCTGCGTTCATATATTCAACACTTTCAGTCCCAGAACCTCGGAACTGATGTCTCAGGAAACGGTTCCAAATGGTGGATTTTTTTATATTTTCCATACATTATGTTATTCCTGCACCAACAGTTTGGACTCAGAGCTCAACCACCGTGATGATGTTCAAAACTCCCCAGGTCACAAACACAGGTTCACAGTCCCATAACGCAGCACGATTATTCACGATAATGAGGTTTATAATGAGGATTCCCTGGTTCTTAATACAATACACAAAGCCTCCTCTCTCTCCCCTCTCTCCCCTCTCCTCCCCCTCTCTCCCTCATCTCTGCCTGTTCCAGAACGCAGACTGAAGGTGAGTTTCCAGTTACGACGTTTCCAAGAATTAAGGACCATGTCAGGACATTCATTCATTAGTACCAGAAGAATCAGAGGCCGAATTAAAGAACTGGGAAAAACAAAATAGAGCCTTTTTTGAGAATATACAAAAATGATTGGTTTTGCGGTTGCAGCGAACGACCTGATTGGTCAACCTGAGACAGCTCTTTGTTTCATCATTTCGTCATTTTTCTCTCTAACAGTTTGTCTTTGTGTAAGTTTTGTAAATGTGTGATCAAAAACAAGCTAAAGGCTAGTTAGCATTAGCAGAGGAAGTGAGGCCAAGGAGGGTTAAGGCTTTATGTAAAACACTGACAGCTACAGGTATGAATTAGTTCATACTAATACATACATGTCATACAACACTGACAGCTACAGGTATGAATTAGGGATGTTCAATATTAACTATTTGTCGTTACTTGAAATGCTGATACTCTCCAAATACTTAATATCCGATTCCGATATCAACCGATACTAATATAGCGGCCAATGCTGCCATCTAGTGATTTTCATTTTCATATAAAGCAGTTTTTTCTCAGGCATTGCATTATTGGGTTTTCAATATCGGAACAAAAACCAATAGTACATAATTATGATAATATTGGTCGGCCGATATTATTGGTTATTCCTAGTGTGTACTTCTGTCGTCATACTGTATACCCTGGTACTGTTTGTTGCACAATCAAGTTCTTCTTACGTAAACTATGAAGACGATTAAAAAAGGCAGACTTACCATAGACATCCATGTAAACCAGATCACTGCAGCATCCTGGTCCCTCTGACCCGGGGTCAGCGCACGGGCTCACAGGTGAGTTTTGATTCTGTGGGTAAAAAAAAAGTCATTTTACAATCTGGATTTCATCTAGACAAGACGTTGGATGGACGCAAGTTATGAATAAATACAAAAGATAAGGGATGTCAGATAATGTCGGGCTCAATATTTTTATAATTATGTAATATCTGTAAGAACTGTTATTGTTTTTCCTCCGATAATGAAAACCTGAAAACGCAATGCCTGCTTTTCACCACTTGATGTGTGACCTAAAACAGTTTTAGGGAAAAACGGCTGTATATGAAAGTAAAAGTCACTAGATGGCAGCATTACAGCTCATTTTTTTATCTTTTTTAATAATCAGTGGATTGTATACAGAATGGTCCCAGCAACTCATACAGTGGTTTGGACAGAAATAAATATTACCAGGCCTATCAGAAATTAAGTGTATCAGCATATCAGATATCAACAAATAGCTAATATTGGACATCCCTACCAAAGATTTTTTTAAACCCAATCACGAACTCTCAGGAAAACAAAAATTATTTTTACAGAAAAAAAAAAAAAAACGTTGATAAAACATCCTCAAAAATTATTTTTATAGAAAAAAAAAACTGATAAAACATCCCCCTCTAACTGTGAGCCAACATTATATCAACACAGTAACACATCTGGGGAGTGTTGGCTCACCGGCTCCCCCTCTCAGGTGACACTGGGTGGTCCGGCTGCTCGACCTCTTATTAATAAAACCACTGCATAACGGCACGTTCAGTTCCAGACGGTTCGTACGACGAGCGTGCGTTTGTAACGATCTGTGTTTGATGACGTTCCCGCGCTGCCATAATATTTGTTTGGATGTATTCATCGCCTTTTCGGTAAATCCTTCTGCTTTTCGTTACTTTGTTACACACACACACACACACACTCGCGCACAGCTGTGTTTTATTTCCCAGGATTCTGCTGCAGCTACAGTGTGAAGTTAACGCACGGATTCTTCACATTCTTAACCAGAGTCACTGACTCTGACCGGTGCNGTTAGTGTGTGTGTGTGTGTCACAGCTCTCAGAAAGACCGTGTGTTGGAGCCGAGTCGGCACATTCAGCTGTTTACGACGGCTCCTGTAGGGGCCGCTCCGCTGCTTCATGTCAAAGGAATGTCAATTAAATGACGCAGTGCAGAAATAAACTGTGAAAATATTCACTGACCTCACCGCGGAGCAGGGCTTCCCAGACGTTCTCCAACGGGGAACAGACTTGATTTGAGGTCAATAAATAAATAAATTAATTAAATTAAATAAACTTAGTGTCCATTGTTCGTCCTAGTTAGTCATAAAATATAGTTATCGTATTCCGTAGGCGACTACTACGCTGCGTGACGTTGACAGAAGCTTCAAGACAGCAGTGTTAAACATATGGCCCGCGGGCAAAAAATGGCCCACTGGGTTGTTCAATCCGGCCGTTTGATAAATTTGCACTCCCACCCCTGGGGAAAATGACTTTGCCCCCCCACACACACACACACTCAGGACCAGGGACGCTGATCCGGTTCACATCCGGCTCTCCAGTCTGACGTCGAGACCAGAACCTGGTCCGGGGTCTGGACAGTGGAGAGAACTCCAGTTTCCAGTATCATGTCTGTGGTTCGTTTTACACGGCCGTCCAGGTCTTCAGCAGAGAGTCAATTAGCTCGGCACTCTGGAGGTAGATTGCAGCGGAGAGAGCATTACCCACCCACCCCCC